TGAGTGACTGGGTGACTGGCTGACTGAGTGACTGGGTGACTGGGTGACTAAGTGACTGGGTGACTGACCCATTGATGAACTGAGTGGCCACTTGTTTACAGATGACCAAACTGCCTCAACACAAAGATTGTTATGGAGATATTTACACGTTGGTTAATTATGTTTAGATGAATGCAATTTGCACCATTCGCCCTTTGCCCCTTCAATCTTATTTGAAATAGCTGTAAATAATTGATACCAAAGTTTTTACCTGAGCAATACCCTTAGAAGACATTTGAGCTTGGTTGTAAAATATTCGTCCAAAATGCATTTTGTCTGGGAAAACATCAGCTTGTCTAGGAAGATTAGCTCCACCAGAATCAACTACAAAATAGAAAAATAAGTTTAAAAATGTCATTTAAAAGAACATCAATTTCCTTATAATTCTCTCACCAGTTTCATTAGGGTACATGTATAAAGGTTGGCTTAGTGGCCTGGGTTCTTATGGATTCAATTCTTTGACTCGACATCACATGTGGCTACAACAGTCTTTTGGTCTTTCTTTTGAATGAATGGTGGTATGGGTGGCGTAGTGGTTTACTGTTTGCCTCTTACCTCTCCCGTCTCGAGCCCTGGCTCAGACTGGATCATATGTGAATTGAGTTTGTTTGACGTGTTGTTCTCTTTCTTGCCACAAGGGTTTCCTTTGGGTTCTCCAGTTTCCTCCCTCCATAAAAATCAACATGTGAGTCTAAGTGTTGTGTGTCATAATATAGAATGTAGTAGTAGTGCATGTGTAGTAAACCTCATGGAAAAGCACTGTATAGGGGGATGTACTAATGTAAAATATATACGAGGGCTTTTCTCTGGACTCTCGAAACCCAACATGTTAGTTTCCATTCAATCTCTAAGTTAGAAGCGCCCCGGCTTAGATCAGCCCTGAGGCTGTTTCAGAATAGAGATAAAATTTGAAGGTAACAAAGAAATTTTAATTGAATTACCTAGATAAATACAAGGAAGCCTATTCTCAGCAGCAATTTCTTGAGCCCGTACATGTTTCTTGACTGTGATTGGATAGTATGATCCACCCTTGACGGTTGGGTCATTTGCAACTACCATACATTCAACTCTGATGAGAATTAAAGAATGACAATTATAAGAAATATTTGTAAAGCCTTACACTTCAAATGAAATGAAATGAAATTTGGATTTAGTGGATATCCTTCAAATGCTGGCTCATTTTTATTCCTTTTTTTTTGTTAATATAATAGAAAACACATGTGTTCCAGTCAAGGTCCATCAAGTTTCAGAGTGTTTGTATTTTTGCAGTTGTGCATTCTTTACTTTACCGTTGGTATTTGCGAGCAATTAGACTGATTTGAGGCTAAGCCTGAGTAATCAAGAAACACAACGGTAATTTGGAACTCGAAGAGGGTCTATTTGGAATTCCCTGAGTTTCCATGATATCTATATATGGCTGAGTATGCTTTTGAAGTGATATGAAGTGATGGCTTTTCCACTGAGCCATGAGTGAGAGAGAATTAAGATACTTACCCATTAACACTACCAATTCCAGTTATTATTCCTCCAGCTGGCACCTCTTCTTTCCCATACAACTGATAACCAGCAAACTGAGATAACTCTAAGAATGGTGATCTAATCAAACACATAAACATGGAACAGCCATGTCAGATACATGAAATATATAAATTTTAAATATAATATATAAATTGGTGCTTGGTAAAGGAATAGCAAGTGCACAAATTTTAGGGTTTTGCTCCATTGTTCTCCGGTTTTAAAAATTAACATGTGATCCGAGCATATAAATCATAAAAATCAACATGTGATCCGAGCATTGTGGGTATAAGATAGTAAATGTAGTGGTAGTGAGTGTGAGTGAAAGCAAGCTAGCCCACATCAGTGAATGCTGCAAAAATAATCAGCCTGGTGTAACAAATAAAAGATTATTATTTTTATTGGTTTAATTACCCAGGGTCTAGAAGGTTTGCTATTCTTTCTCTTGGGAGCATCTTTCCTCTTGCTGTCTGTCTTTCTCTGGCTGACTTACTTCCACCTACACAAAGATTACAGATTGGATCTGAGCATGTGAACAATATATCATATACAATATTCCATAAATTGCCTTTAAAAAAATGCAGTCTCTGTTTATTTACATAGGAGTCAGTTCTCAAAATGCTACCTATTTGAAAACAACCTCTTAAAAAAAGTAGAACCCTTTTAAAACAGATCTTTAGCTTCAGCAGAATGTTTTCCAGTTTCAGATTTGTCATTCCCTAGAGTATCATTCCTTTGTTTAACAGTTGTACACAAGAAGACACATGAATATAGATCAAAATCATACAAAGAATATAATTCTCAAGGGAATGACATCTTGGTCTGAAAAGGGAAAACAATAGGCACAAACTAAGGAGATCTATATAGGGACTAAAGGTACAAGAGTAAGTGACTACATAAATAGGGTGTCCATGGATATCATGTACAACACATGTACAAGAGTAAATGCATTGCACTGTAATAGGGTGTCCATACTACATGTGACTTAACTAAACATATTGTTGATAATCTATTTATGTAAACTGGGTTCTGATTGGCCCAATTATGTAATATTCCAGATCACATGATCATATTAATTAATTAGCTTCATTACCTTCTTTGATTTTGTTTACTTTGGCTCTCAGATCCTCAACCACACGTTCCATATTTTCTTTATTTGTCTAGAAAATACAAGGATCTTAAGGATAATTTGTTGAAATTTGTTTAAATAATTTTCCCACAATAAATAAGCCTACGTTTGAACTGCTTCATTCATTATTAATAATTCGTCATTTTTTATCTCATATTTTGTTAGATAACCTTATATAAGAATATAGAATATAGGAGATTAATTTACAAGGAAGAACGTATAAATCTTATCTAATGTACCTTAAAATCAGGCGAGTTTTTATCAACTTGACTCTGTACAACACTGGCCTTGGCTAAATTATGATACCACGATGAGCGTAGATAAAATCGGTTTAAACACCGATTATACCTTAAAAATACTGCTAAGCCCCTCATTATGATTCAATTAATAATATATCTAATATCTAAACGTCTACGTACTGGGGAAGGTACAAAAATGGCTTTACAAATTGAGAGATTTTTACTACAATTCGTCCGCCATTTTGTAAAAGTTACACGTGATAGCACAGGAAGCCCAGTCAGAATTTTCGTCACTCATACGGCTGCCAAAACTTATGCTGAAGGAAATAAAGGCAGGCAATGTATTTGTGGTTAAATTTCGTATATACAAATGTTTAAGGAGGACCGAATATAAACTTCTCTGGTGTCTTATCCAAACATTTCGACATTAACTACAGATCCTACAGATACGATGTCTGTATTTATTGACTCCCAGAGCTTGGGTTTCCTGTGGTTTCGTCTTGGAAACAAAAATGGCGGTCGGGCTTGTTCTTTCTTTCCTAGCAGCATCGATTATCTTCCCTCTCTTCACACTTATTTTTTGTGGGTTTTTATTCGTTCAGAACTTGCACAAGAGGCACTCCCGCATTCCGGGACCGAAAAGAGACAGCTTCATTTGGGGAAACGTTAAAGAATTTCAACCACAGCACAACAAGAAGGCAAGGTTTCTAGTTTTCGAAGACTTGGTGGGAAAGCATGGATCTGTCTTGGTAACGTGGGATATGATCAAGCCTGTAGTTACTGTATCAGACCCAGAAGTTTTAAAATCCATCTTTAAGCCTGCAGATTTTAAAGATGTTAGTTCTCGCGGAGAATTTGAGACCATTTTTGAGCAGAGATTCCTTGGAAAAGGAGGGAAATTCGACAGCTGTTCTTTTTTTGATAAGAAATTCATGGAAAGACAGATGAAGAACTTTAACCATTGTTGTGGAGCGTTCTTAGAGGAACTTAAGAAAAGGGCAAATGGTGGGGATGAAGTAAAGATGGCAGATATGTTTTCAAAATTAACATCTGATTTGATTGCTAAGGTAAGAGGGAACTAATAAGGAATGATTGAATGGATGAACGGACGGACGAAAAGACTATGTACTTATTGACTGAGTGGGAGGGCTGTACGGGAAAATATTTGCCTCGAGGTGATGCCGTATGGACYGAGCGTAGCAAGGTCCGTACAAATGACCGAGAGCCAAATATTTTGCCGTACGGCCTGACCTAACTCAGTCAATAAGCATTTTATCATATGACCCTCACGAAAATATCAATAAAAAATAAAAGAAAGAAAGAAATAGTAAATAAAAGCTAAAAAAGAGAAAGCGCACGGATTCGAGCAGGGCCGTACGAATCCGTACGGCCCTGCTCGCTCAAAGCTGTCTGGCCCCCATCACGTGACTTTTTCCAATGGTTTTATTAGAGCATGCGAACAGGGCCGTACAGGTCATATGATAAGTTTCTTTATTCAATCAGTTACGGTGATTCAACTTTATCATTTATTGATCACTGTATCCATTTTGATCTAGATTGCCTTTGGTTTTGACCTTAACTGCATTGCAGACTCAGATGTGCCATTTTACAAAGCATTGAGAGCTTGTCAAGAAGCATCTTGGTGGAAATTATGCAATCCTTTTCACAAGTGGGATATTGGGAGCTATGATTACCAAAATGATGTGATTGAAGCTGTCAAATACTTAAGAGATTTTGGTAAAAAGGTTATAGACAGCCGCAGGTCAGCCATGGAGGAAGGGGAAGCCATTCTTGAGGATTATCTAACAGGCATGTTCAGAGCTGTTGATGTTGATAGTTCTCTTACATTTGATGATATGTTGGATGAGTTTGTCACTGTTTTTATTGTGGGTAAGTTAAAAAAATTTTATAATCTGTAGACCCCTTACATTGCTTTCCTAGAGGAATTTAATTATACAGTAAGCTGTCCCACTTTTCCCTCCAAAATTAGTAAGGGTGAGTGTTTTGGGATTCAACCCTCTCCTTACTCCACTTACTTGGCTGCTCACTCAGCTCCAATCTCGTGGGTGTCCACAGGAATCCCAAAATATTTATCTTTACTGAGTCTGGAGGCAAAAGTGGGACCAGTCTCTCAGTCTAAGAGGAATTGTTGTTGTGGGGAAAAAATTAGGCTGGCTTTTCTTTTGAAAAAAAATCCATTGTTTGGTCGTTCAGCCTTCTCAGGACCCAGTACAAGAGGTCTATAGTTGCTTTGTAGAGAAGCTACTGCTACACTTGTATCATGACAAACCTCTGGGGGAATAAAGAGCTATTGTTTTGCAACTCGTCGGGGTATCATCGTTATTCCTTTCGTATCCTTTGGGATACTCATGAATTTTTCAAAGTAGTAAAAAYGAAAGAAAATGAATCCTCTGGAGGTTTGTCACGCTGAATTGGGAAAACATTGTCACACCACGAATAAGGTCTATTGAGAGTAGTGTAGTAGTAATGCACTTGCCTCTCTGCTCTAGGGTTTTAGGTTAAATTTCTGGTCTCACATGTGAGCAGCATTACTAGAGATCTTAATTATATTAATTCAAGCGTTTTTCTCAAGATTCTCCACCAATAAGATGTAGGAGACATATATATTTTGTTTTTAAACTTCTTAATCTCACCAGGTCAGGATCAGCTCACTAGTCTTTTGTCAAACTTCCTATTGGTGCTCTTCCAGCATCCACTCATTGAAGAAAAGTAAGTTTCAAGTTTTATTACTGAAATCATTGGTGGCTTGAACTTTCTTTTTGCATTCTTATTTTTCTGAATTTTTTTTTTTGAAATGGAGATTTATCAGGTCTAGGAGCTTAAGGATTTAAATGGCATGGATAAACTTAATTGCAAAATCATTTTTAGGTTGAAAACATATATATATATAAAGCATATCATGCTTCAAAACCCTTCTATTAGTAAACTGCATATCAAACAATTGCAAAGAAGTGTTTCCTACAATATCCAAACACTAAGAAGTGAGTTGAAAAAATGAGGCAGAGCTGATACGGACATGGTGAATAACAAACGTTACTTGATGCGGGTTTTAAACTTTTCATTCCTTCAATTTCTGGATTGTAGTCATACTTGCAAAACTTAGCTAGTTAAATTTTTTGTCACTCACTAAATACAAATTTCACCCGCATTTTACAAGTTGGCGAGTGTTAATTTTGTGCCCTGATTAATAATTCTTGGAGAAATAAAATGCATTACATGTAAGTTATCCAAATTTTATGCTAAAGTTAAGATCACATTCCCAAACCTCCTTCACACGAGTGATTTTCTTTGTTTTGTCTTCATGGATTATTAATGAAATTTAGAAGTAAATGTATAGGTCATTAAATTTTTTGATTAATATTTACCGGTATTTTATTTCTATATTTCTAAGGCTGTACGAAGAAGCAATCAATGTTGTCCAAGGAAGTAGAGATGTTGCCATTGAAGACCTTGATAAGCTGAACTATATGTATTGTGTTACCAAGGAGACACTGCGTCTGAATCCTCCTATCCCTGCAGTTTCCATGGAAACAACTAAAGAAGAAAAACTTGGGGGTTACTTGATTCCCGAGAAGACGACAGTCCAAATCATACCTTATATCATGCAGACTGATCCTATTGCATGGAGCAATCCCAAGGAATTTAATCCTGAAAGGTTCATGGAATCAAAAGAGTTGAGCATTGCGGCACAGTTGCCATATTGCTTGAGGAAGCATTGTTATATCAATGACAACTTTGCTGAATGTCTGGTGAAAGCTCTCTTTCCATGTTTGCTGCAGAAGTTCAAGTTCGTTCTTGTTCCTGGTCAAGATGTGAGACCACAAGAAGAGTTGACTATCTTGCCTAAAGATGGTGTTCTCTGTACAATGACTCTGATTTAGTTAAGGAAAATATATTAGCTACTAATATAAACAGTTCAAAAGCCTGTAACTTTTAAATTCTAATTGCAAAGAAAGGTGCAATGATAAGATTAATACAATCATGTAGAAGTATGACACTTCTTAATTCCCACATTCGTTGCTTCGAATTTCCTTGTTTTGTTTAGATTTGCAAGGGGATATTTTTGTTGTTTTTTYCCCCTCATACTATTACCTGTTTTAAAATAATATAATTTTAAATGAATAATAAAATAGTGGAGGCATTTGTCATGATATTGGCTCAACACACGACAAATGCAAATGGTTTGCAAATATATATACAGCCCCTGTATATATATTTATACCTTTCTTTGTAAATATGGGAAAAATTGGATATTGCATTTCATTATTGAGCCTTTCCGGTTTTTGACCTGGCTGAGGAAATTCTGGGGTAAGTGTTTGGAAACAAATTATAAAATCGTATTACTTGGGTTCTAAGAATATTTACAGTACTAGCTAGAAAAATCCTGAGGGGGAGGGGGTCAGGTGAACTGCACTGCACTGGAAATTCAGTCTCTTTTTAGTTATAAGCATGTGCTGAAACTGGTCGTGTCTATATGTGTTTTTTTTTTTTTTTGCTCATTTTTTGTGCACGCATCCTCACTTATTGTGTATGGATGTCTTCGATTTCATTCCATAACACAGGAATCCCAACTTCAATTTATTTCTTTTTTCGTCTATATTGTAAAAAGCTGCAACAAAATAAAACGAAGATAAATATGTGTATTCGAGATCAATTTTTAAAATTATATTCTATAATTCATCTTTTTTACACCCGAACAAAAATAACATTGGACTTGAAATATGTGAGCTCTGAGCCTTCGATACAATGGCTTGCTGGTCAGTGTTCTTTAACAGTTAAAATGGCGACCTGCAGAAGAAAAATGTTGAACGTCTCTCAACAGAAAAAAAACGACAATTTATAGTTGTAAGTATTCCTATTACTATATATTTTTACTGTCTTAAGAAGCTGTTTCCATAAAAGCCACAATTTTTCTCAAATTTTGCTGCGAAAATCTTTCTCATCTCCGAGAGCCTTCGATAATAATTTCCATACTCGTTCGTTTGGATTTTTGCTGTATTTTTTGTGAGTTTTACTAAAGACTTTAATTATYCTTAATAGGAAAATACTGTTATTTAAGTAAATGAAGCGATTAATGATAATTTTAGAAAACTTTCTACTAGTAGCAAAAGTTTTTTTGTGTTTCGTACACGTGGTATTCTACGAAGGTTTTGGACTTGTAGTCCAATAACAGCAACAGGCTGAGTTCAAGTCTTGCTGACGCCGTGGAGCTTTGAATAATTCCTTCTTAAATCTTTCTTAGCTATTTATATTTTCTTTACATTTGGTATCACCAACTAAGTTTATTTAAAAAAAGTAAATCTAGAGATAAGGAAAATCTTGTTGAGCACATTTTTACTTTCACAGTGCAAATAATATTAAATTCATTAAACTTTGAAGTAAGTTTGTTTCACACCCTATTAATTGCCCGTAATGTACTTATTTTGATTTTGTTTAAAAAGATTTAGGAAGAATGAGTTAATTGTATTATGTTCCAGGGTAGAAATCCTTGCAATACTAATAATAATTAATAATTTGATAAATTATATTGTTTGAAATACATAAAATGACCTAATGTGCATTGCAATCAAGAATAATAAATAAATTAAAACAACCATAATATATGTTATGGTAGCATATAATAGGCAAGAACTGCAGAGCTAGGGGGCTGGGTGAGCTTATAATCCCCCCCCCCGTCCTCTAATTTGTTGCTGCTCGCAGTCTACCAAGTAGAAAAACAATCAAGAAAAATATATCCACTTCATATTTTGGCAACTCTTTTATAATCATAACAAGCCACAAGCATGATTGTATTGCGTTTGGGCGCATTCAGATCTGCATGTTTAGAATATTTCTGGGGGATTAAGAGTGGGAGAAGTGTGAAGCTTTTGTTTTATGGCCAGCAGGACGCCTAACTGGAAAGACTGCTTCATATTGAAAGGCGTTGATCAAATTAACTCGCTTGTTATTCTGTCGTTATTACCATGGTAACGTAGGGATCCTGGTCTTCGCAATAAAATTGCACTTGCGGCTTGTTATGTTTGTTGACATTCTCCATGGGTCCATGATTCCATCATATATTGATCTCATCCCATCCATCATTCCATCCACCCGTTCACCCATCTCATTCAATCCCATCCATCCATTCATGTCATATATCTCATCCATCTATCCTGGCATATCTATTTATCTTGTGCTATCCCAACCTGGGAAGCACGGGTGGCATAGCGGTGAGAGCACCTGGGTTCGAGTCCTGCCATGCTCGGTGTCATATGTGAGTAGAGTTGTTTATTGGTTCTCTCCTGTGCTTCGAGGGTTAATTTCCAGGTTCTCCAGTTTTCCTCCCTCCTCAAAAATCAACTTCTAAATTCCAATTGGAATTACAATGGATGGAGAGCCATTCTGTAGAAGTGCCACTGTCCTGATAAATCCCATTTATTTTATTTTTATTTTATTTTACCTTCTTTCCATCCAATATTTTATTCAAACATGTATGGTATGTAGTATGTTAGCCTCCATTGAAGGCGTTCTTTTTGTTGCTCCTTTCTCCCACCCCACTACCACTAACACAGAAAGAATACTGACACAAATAAAGTCTGCAAACTTGATGTACATGGATGTAGGTGGATGCCCCTGAAAGGTTACTTAAGGAGGCTTTAAATGTTTTTTTATGAATGTCCTTATTTAGATTTTTTTTTTGTGCTTGGTGAATTATTAAAGATATGAATTTTGGTTTTCTTCAAGCTAATTTTTGCCAGAAAAAATATTCTGAGCTCTGGGCAAGATTTGAACCAGTGACCTTCTGTTTGCTAGTCAGAAGCTCTAACAACTGRGCTACTAGTGAGTTCCAGATGGTATTTAAGCCTGATAATGTCATAGCCATTGTCATTTTGAAGTTTGTATAACAAAAAGTTTGCCCCAGAAATTTTCATATTCAAACTTAAAAACTGTTGTTCTGATGGTTTAATTTGTTCTGTACATGTTATATGCAATGCATCACTTTTATTTGTATGCATGTACATGAAATCGCAGCTAATCTCCATGTGATAATATGAAATTGCATGCATACCTCTACTTTCAGCAACATGCTTGCAGCTAATCTTAAATTCATGGGTGTATAATATGCAGCTGCAAAGGCATGCATTAGTAGCCCCTGGTTGCTCCCCCTCTCCCCTTTGCTTCTCCTTTCCCTCAATAATTATTTTGGTGTGGTAGCGACTTTCATTAATAGCAATATTAATTTTTGTAAATTTCTCTGATGATTTAGAAATCCAGGGTTTGGTGGTTTGTGGCAACATGTCTTCTTTACCAGAATCTTCCCAACCTACAGACAGATTCTCAATTTTAGATCTTGACAAGATAAAAGCTGAACTTGAATCCAGTGGAAAAATCGACTGTCCAACACCAACTTGCAAAGAAACTTTCAAATCCATCTGGGGCTTAAAATTTCATTTGAAAAAGAACAGCTGTAACTCTCCTAAATTTAACTGTGATAAATGTAATGGCGCTTTCCAGTCGCGGATACTTCTTCAGCAACACGTCTGTGGTGCATCAAAGGAAGATACTGATGGAAGCATGAAGAAAGGCAATAAAGACGATGCTAAAGGGGACAATGATATAAATGTTGCACCAATTAATACTAATGTTAAAACTGATTCTTCTGAAAGTTTGACAAGCAATCCGGAGATGTTAGCTCCAAAAAGAAAACGAGAAAGTTGTCCGAAAAAAAAGGATGAGTTACCAATAATTCCTAAAGAAAACCCAACAGAGATTTCTCCTACTCCAGGAGAAGATAGTTTGTTAAAAGATGAAAGAGAAATTTATCAAGAAGTACTTGTCGGAAGAGAAGAAACTTGCACCACATCAGTGGATCCCATTCAAACACCAAAACCCGCAATAGAAAATGTTCAGGTTCTCACTTCGCCAAAGAGAAAAAGAGGAAGACCTAGAAAAACGGAGAGTCCAGCGAACAAATCCTCTGAAAAAAGAACAAGTAGAAATCCCAGTGAATTGAATAAAGATTCAAAGAATAGTGGTTTAGAGTCTGCCAAAAGAGATGGCATAAATGAAAACACTACGAAGGATACCACGAATGATCAGAAACAAACTGGTTCTGCCAACTTACAAGACTTTGCAACGCCGAAGAGAAAACGACGAGGAAGACCTCCAAAAGCTAAAACCAACGACCTGATAGGAATATCAAGTAAGGTGTCTGACAATTCTAGAGATTCTTCTGTGCAACAGAATGGTGTGAAATCCATTAAGAAAAGAGGCAGGCCACGAAAGATCACAACCGATAGTCCAAGTGTTGATGTTGCTAAAAGAAGCAGTGCGCGATCTGCGTCAAAGAAAGGTTAGTAGATTCGTCTTTGCTTTGGGTCACGGTAGTGCTTACACGCCCAATTGGGATTTAAGCTCAAGGTTTTGTTGGGGGAGGGGGGGAGGGGGGATGGTGATGATGATGATGTTGGTGAGATAACAATGAATGATGACGATGATGATGATGATGATGAGGATGAATGATGTTGATGATAAATTATGATAGTGCTGGCGATGATGATGCTGTTGGTGATTATGATGATGATGGTATTGGTCACGATGATGATGTTATAGAATGATGACGATAATGTTGGTGATAATGTTGATGATAAATAAAGATGAATGCTGATGATAACGATGCCTAATCCGGACAAAAACACTTATGGCAAGAGAGAGAACCACACATCAAAGCACCATGATGATGATATAACATCTAAATTTATTTTCTCTTAGTGAAGTAAGCGGAAAGAAAACATAGTGATAGCGATGATGATAGCATCCTTGACGACGACGAYGATGATGATGATATGACATCTAAATTCATTTTCTCATAGTGAATTATGCGGAAACAAAATATGATGATAGCGATGATGATAGCATCCTTGACGAAGATAATGATGATGATAATATGACATTATGTAAATTCATTTTCTCATAGTGAATTATGCAGAAACAAAATATGATGATAGCGATGATGATAGCATCCTTGACGACGATAATGATGATGATAATATGACATTATGTAAATTCATTTTCTCATAGTGAATTATGCAGAAACAAAATATGACGATAGCGATGATGATAGCATCCTTGACAACGACGACGACGACGATGATGATGGAGCCTCAAAGAAACCAAAACTAGACGCCTCAATTGATGGAGATGATGATGATGACGACGATGATGATGATGATGGTGTTAATATCAAAACACCAAAACCAGTGAAGACCACAGCACAAACTGAAAAACAGGTAGTTTATATCATTATTATAGACTTTTAGTCTCGCGGCATCGAAGGTACTAGTGCAACGTCGCAAAATGTTCAGCAGTTCACTTCACAGGGACGTAGGAGCCGTTAAGGAAGAGAGGTGAGAGGCGAGTACTAACTAGAGATATTTTGGACAAAAGAATCCCAAACAAAAGGGTTGTGACACCACCTAATTAAATGTTCTTATTTCTTACAGAAACTGATGGCTAGTCTAAAGAAGCAGCTCAAGACAGGAAAAATTTCTTGCGCTAACAACTGCGGAAAAAAGTTTGCTAGCATCGCAGGGTATAACTTTCACTTGGAAATTTGCGGCAAAGAAAGAAGCACAATAAAGTGTGATGTTTGTGGTAAAGAATACACCACACAGGCTGGGTTGAAGTACCACATGAATGCTAATCATCCAGAGACTGAGGTACGTCTCCTGCATAATGAACACCAACATGAATAACCAACATGTGATTTAAAAAATATTCCAAGAAACAAGTTCTGGGCTGATCAAAACCATGGCACGGCTAACTCACAGATCAAACTCTGAAGCAACCTCTATGTTGCTCAAAGTCAGGGCACGGCTAGCTCACAGATCAAACCCTGAAACAACCTCTGGGCTGATCTAAGTCAGGGCACGGCTAACGTAACTCACAGATCGAACCCTGAAACAATTCTGGGCTGATCAAATCATGGCAAGGTTAAATTACAGATCAAAGCCTAAAAAAACTTTCGAACTGATGAAATCAGGGCACGGCTTACTCTTTTCTTATCACTTATGGTTCATTGGTGTTTTCCAGAAATTTCTGCATTATTCTTTCTATATGCAAGTATTTCAAAAAAGCTCGCAACAATATGGAATCATCTCAAATTTTCATCATTTACATATGATATATTATTTATGTTATGAGTAACATGCAACATGCAACATGCAGCATGCAACATGCAACATGCAGCATGCAACATACAACATGCAACATCCAAAAACCTTTTTTTAAATAGTTGTATTTTTAAGTTACGCGCGTATTTATATCCAAAAGGACGAGGCTGAAGAAGAAAAAGATAAAAAAGAAGAAACCGAAGGCCAGGAAACGACCATTGACAGCACAGAAGATGCATCGAGGAGACCAAGAAGAGCTGCTTCAAGGTATTGACAAAGATCTTCTCTGAAACATGCTTATACATGCCTATAAACCTGTATTCATATTTCTGCTATCCAGTATATTCTAGTACTGTATATTCCATCCTTGGCGCGTTTTTTAAGTTTTGTTTTTTGAGATTTTGACTTCAGCCTGGTGCTGCACAATAGGACACAGGGTTCTCTTCGAGGTACTGGCACCAATTTTCAACCACGTAAAATCCGTGAGAGTTGTTCCTTTATCTTTCTTAATTTTATACCTTCATATTCATGTGGATATAAAAGCATTTGAAAGAAACGTATCGATTCAACAAAAGAACCGAAGCAAATGAAAAAATGTCAGAAGAAATTAGTAGAGACATTGATCCAAACACCTGTCCCGATTTAAAAATAAAAAGAAGCTTTGTGCAATAAAGTACTTTTTCCACCATCTTAGAGCGAAGCAGAAGTTCCGGGAAATTGAAATAGAGCAGAAGAAAATCGAAATATCGAATAAGAAGAGTAGTTACGGAAGCCGATCATCAACACTGGACCAGCACGTGAAGAAACTGAGAGAGGATATCATCACTCCTACCTTGATAAAAACAGTAAAAGATGAGCTAAGGGAGAATAAAGAAATGGTGTGTCCTAATGAGGTATGTTGGTTTTGAAAGGAATGATTCAATTTCTAGTTCTCTGCTTCTCAGGTTTAGCCTTGATTTTGTAGAAATTTTTCGTGTTCCAGTGTAGGGCTGTTAAATCTCAAAGTGTTTCTATTCTTGAAGCTATGCATCGTTTTGTTTGCCGGTATTTGTGAATATTTTGATACGAAAATGATGAGGCTATTCCTGAGCAAATAAGTCTGTAATCAAGGAACACAGTCGTATGATACGAATTTCGAAAAAGCCTTCCGTTGCAGTTTATTGTAGCTTTGTCAAAATCCTTGCGACAATGATCTTTGAGTGTTTTTTTGTGCTTTAGTGGGAGGACGTAAATGAAAAACAACTTTAGTGTATCTGTAATACCTTAGCTGAAATACTTTCACCTAATAGAGCATGAGCATGTTACGTCATAGCCGCCATCTTGGTTGACGATAACAAAGCATTCCTCATTAGCTTCTCTTGTTAGATCGACCAAGATGGCGGCTGTTTCATTGTTATTCATATCTCAAGGGATTTTGATTCACGTGTTTGCGGCACACATTGTATTTTGAGGCGGAGTAATCTTGTTTTGATTATTTATTTCCAGGGATGCGAGAAATTATTTAAAGCATTTATAGCATTCAGAAATCATTATTTGCAATGCGGCTTCGATAGCTGTCCCTACAGTTGCCTGTTGTGTGGGCAGGGGTACAACTCCATAGATGGTGTAAGAAGTCACGTGGAAAAATTCCATGGAATAGTAAGTACAGTCTGAGGAACAGTATTCTGTTTTTCTCTTCTCTTCTCTTCTCTTCTCTTCTCTTCTCTTCTCTTCTCTTCTCTTCTCTT